CGGCAAGCAGAGCTTTTTTCATAGTGAGGTGATGTGAAAAGAGTTAATAATGAGCTACTGGCTTTTCATCCAAACATTTTCCACTACTCAGGAAATGTCCAATATTCCAAACAGTGGTAACTGCTGAACAGCATTATGGCCAGTGAGTGGTTTAACTTACCAGCTACTGCCACTACTCTTTATACATATTTAACCTGTGATTCCTCTCCAACTCAGTTTTTTGTCTGTTTGTATTTTGTTGTTTTTGTGCAAAATCTGAATACAGTAGTTTACTAACTATTCAAGTTGTACCATTTTCATTTTACCAAATAAGCAGTTTCTAGAGCAGAAATGATGAAATGAGGTTTGCATATCCTCTAAAAAGACAAGAATGAAACTTGAAGTAACAGAGAAGTTTCGCAAGTTACAATTTCATATACATGTTGGTGAAATATACATTGCTGATTCCAGGAAGAGACTTTTAAAAAAATGCATAGATATTTCTAAATTATAATATTTAGATCGCTTGTGTGTGCTATATTTATGCCCATTTAGCAAAACAACAGGAGAGATCTGAAATTGGACTGCTTTCCTTTACTGATTCCTCATCAGTCATTATATTCTCTATGCTCTTCTTACCAGTCTCTTTCAGATTTAGAAACTTCTCAATTCAGAGTCCATTTGTAACCTGGGGGCTCATCACCATACTTATCCATTCACACTACTGTACAGCTTATCTTTCTATATTCAATCTGAACCCAACTTCCTGTCTACCCTTTTAATACATCATTTTCATTATATCTGTTTTTAGTCAAATTCTTTGGTGGTTCTTTGTTGCCTTTAAGATAAAATCCAAAATTCTCAACTGACTGCCCTAATCCAACACTCTCTCTCTATCTCCTGCTACTCCTACGTCGGTTTCTTATTGCTGTTGTAACAACTTGCCACAGATTACCAGCTTGAAACAACATAAATGAACTATTGTATAGTTCTGTAGGTCAGAAGTCTCATTGGGCTAGAATCAAGATGTCATCAGAGCTGCATTTCTTCTGGAGGTTGTAGGGGAAAATGAGCTTCCTTGTTTTCACCTGCATTCTTGGCCTGTGGCCCCTTTCTCCATCTTCAACCCAATGGGGTAGAATCCTCAGATCTTCCCATGACTGTGCTTTATCATCACATCTCTTTCTCTGACTCTGAACCTACTACCGTCCTAAGGATCCTTGTAATTACAATGTGCCTACCAGAATAATCTCCTCATCTCAACATCTTTAATTACATCTTCCAAGCCTCGTTTACCATCTAAGATAACATATTCACAGGTTCCAGGCATTAGGTCATGGATACCTTTGGGAGACCATTATTCTGCCTACCACAACCTTTAAGCATAAACTGTCCATTATAGCCACTTGTCTTTACTGTCTGCATAATCCTCGTGTTCATTCTGCCACTGAAGAATGATCTTGTTTTATGCATCAAGAAAAGAACTCCACCTTTCCTTCCTACCTCCCTCTGACATCTAAACAAACTCTCTACAGCTTTCAAAGCTGAGTTTACATCAGAACAACAAACCAGCAGCATCCCTATAAACTTCCCATTAGATTTAGAGTGTCTCATATTAGCTCCTTACAATATTTACTAAAAATGATTCCTCAAAAGATGTTCTTCCTATGTCTAAACAAAATATTGTTATTTTATGTATGTCGAAGTCCCAGCATAAACTAATGGCATGTATAAAGGATTTAACTGAAGATAGTTTCATAAAGTGACAGTTTAGAGAGGCCTTAAAGGAACAAGAAAAGAGGGTGGAGCATCTAGCACAAGCCACAGCGGGGAAAAAAAGAACCTGAAGCAAGAGTGAGAAGAAAATCCATGACCATTCCTAGGCCTGAGATGGTGGCAGTGTTAGTTTGATTATGAACTCTAGCTGTGGGGGGTGGCCATTAGACTGGAGTTGCGGTCATAAAAAGAGAATGCAGTCAGCTAGTGACAAAACTGAAGCCCAGCAGAGAAAGAGTAGGGAAAATAAATATACCCCCTTTCCTCCTATCTGATGTCTTGCTCAGCCCTCCCATTGGCCATATCCAAATGGCAAGATCCAGCCTTCCAGAGGACAAAGGGCAAGACAGTCAATAACAGAGTAACTAGCACAACTTAACCCCGAAATGTATTATGTGCGAGGCATTGTGCCAAGAGCTTTGCATTTATTATTTCATTTTAATCTAAAAATGAAGTTTACTAATTGATCACAGTCACAGATTTTGTTCTTTTTCTACCCTCACTGTTCCGCTTGATTAGCCTTGAAAAAAAGAAAAGCAAAAAATTAAAAATTTATAACTATTATCCATATTTTAGAGACAAAGAATAAAAATACAGTACTAAGAAGTTAATTTCACTTGTCCAAAGTTGAAGAACTAATGGCAAATCTACTCAATTCATATCTCTGACCTCAAATTTAATGCTCTAAAATAATATGCTATATAGGCTGCCTAAAGATAAGTTCATTCTCCCTTGCTCATCCCTCTAAATGTGAAATCCAAACATAATTGTTTAAAATACTTGGATAATGACCACATTAATCATACAAGTCAATCTTTTAATTCCATGATTTTTAGTTGTACTGAAGTAAGTGTAACTCAAATAAGACTCCTATCTCTGGTTATTAAGAATATAAACATAGAATTACCCCTAATTAAGCTATATGTCCCTTTCCTGGAAATATTTTGGTTGGCCTAGAAGCAAGGGTCTTCTTTTATGACTTTTCTCTTAGGCAAGATTTCCTATTCAAAATGAAGTCCAGTGAGGAGATGGGAGATGGCTGAATATGGGGAGAAAGTCAGCCACCTATTCAAAACAGAGAATGACTCCCAATAGCAGACAATGTATTGTCAGGAATTGCTGAAAATGGTGAAAATTGTCTTATTTACTGTGATGTTTGTAAAGGCAGCAATGAATTCATGGGATTTTTGTTTGTTTAGTAAATAGGCAATGAGAGTAACCACAAAACACATATATATGCTACACTAATTTACCTATTTCTCTTCCTTCCTGTCATAACACTTATCCAGCTATTTTGAAGCATGAGCTCTTGGGCCACAGCTTGTCACTGATATTCTGACTACAGTAGATGGATGCTCCTCCAACATGTTCCACCACTTTCAACCCAATAAACTTCTCACTAGATTTAGAACTTGCTGAATTTCCACATCTCTTAACACATTTTAATAAAGTAGCTCATGTTTAAAACACATTTAGAAAAGCTGGGGACCAAAATGCTATTCTTTACCTACACTAGTCTTCTGTTGTATGAAATATAAAACAGTGTACTTGAATTTATGTTAAAAAACTGAGATGAAGGATATTCTGAAACTGTTGCCACGGTGCTAGAGTCAAAATAGATTGCCTATTCAGAGCAGTCTGTGACTGGAGAATTGTATTCGCCTTCAAAGCAAGTACAGTAGAGTATCAAGAAATGCAAATGACTGCATGAATTTCTATCTTCAAGATTATTCAGCTCCTTTCAGCTCCTTTATTGTGCCAGCTACTCTAAGGTCTTCTTGGAGACTTTGCATAAGTAGTCACTACCACTGCTACTGATCTCAATTCCTGAATAAATGTCATTTCCAAGAGACACCCTGAAGTAGAGTGGACCCTCCTTCAGGGCATGTATATCCTAGCACCTTTGCTTCTATTATATAATACACGGTGGTATTATAATTCACTATCTAATTGTCTTTCCAGCTTACTGTATGCTCTGTGAGTGTAGAATCTTTGTTTATTAACCATAGCACATAGAAATAATAGGTGCTTTTTAACTGAATGAATCACAAAAGAACTGACTGTTGACCAACTCATAAAATAATTAAGGGATCAGATTATCTCCTTTTATTATACCTCTGCCTGAAATATTTCTGTCAACCCAAATTTATAAATAATAGAATGGATGGACAGCTGCATCATTATTTTATGCACCACTAAGAAAGACAAGCCACTCCCAATCTAATTATAATTGCTAGATTGTTACATAGTTTCTAGTTTCAGAGATGTTGAAATTGGGAAAATGTGCGTCTGAAAATTACAACCAATAATATACAGTGTACCTACATGACAATTTTCTATATTTCTTTGGACATTTAAAAATTGTGTCATAAGGTTTCAAAGAGGCTAATATGTGAAACCTCACCTAGATATAAAGATATAACATTGCTCCTCTTAGTCCTTTTCAAGTGCCAAGTTTATATCTGATTTAGGGGATAATTGCTCCTCTGGCACCAACAGCCTCACCAGATCCCAAAAACAGAGTTCCCTCCAAATACTCTATCTTTAGAAGAAAGCTTCAGGAGAAAGGTGACAATAAAGTAATCAAATAATGTTCTAGTTGCACAGGATTAATGACTCTAGCTTTGGCAAACTTTTAACTTTTTGTCATGTTGCTGGTAAGCTCCAGGGCTGTGTATATAGGAAGGAGACTAACTTTAATCAAAACTTTCCTATGATTTAAAAGAAATATAAAAAAAGTCAACTAAGTTTTAAAAGGAAATTAAAATGCATATGCTGGTTAGTGTTAAGGATTCACTTTATGTGTTAAAAAAAATCAGTTTCATCCCAACAGGAGATCCCTATTAACAAGACAAGAGACAGATCTGAATTGAAAACTCATTGTAATTCAAATATGCAAAGGAATGGAAACACATACTCTTTTTATATGAATTATGTGAGATCTCCTAAAATAAATGCAAATTCTTACATCTAAGTATAGCACCTAAATCACTTTAAAACATCAATAGTTAAGATGGTTTATATATTTTGTAAAACACATATCTTTATTATAGGTTAAATGGACTTTTGAAATTACTTTATTAGACTTTTATTTTACCAAATACTGAAATCTAAAAATAGATAGGTACTGGCCCGTCCTTAAAATATCTGTTATACATTTTACTTGTAATAGTTTTGGTGAAATGATCTTATGCTGTATAAGAATACATGCAAATAGAACTACACACACACACATATACACACACTTCTGTTGATAGGATTTTGTTTATTTAGCAGAAGATTTTGTATTGTTTTGTGACAATTGCAAGTAAGTATTTTCCATCATGGGAAATTTAGATAGTAAGTGAGTACAAGTTCCTTAAAACAAAACAAAACAAAAACAAAAAAACCCACTCACTTTCCCTTTTACCTTTTACCCTTTTGTCTATATTAGCTAACTGATCCTCCCAGTCATCCACTTAGCTTTGCTGGTGGAGGTCACATGGGAACCTTTCTTTGCACAATCTGAGGTTTGCACATTCTCTCTAAATAACTGATTGCATTTATCACTAGATATTTATAATTGGAGCTCTGGCTTCCTATTTTGTAACGTTCACTTTCCAAACCATGCATGATAAAACTAATTGCCATTATGTGTTATTTTAAAACAGTTTAAGAACTTTTCCTGCAGAAGATGTATTTTAAATTGCTCTCAAATATTGAAACAGGCTTATATAAACGTACCTTAAGAGTAAACTTCTTTTTAAATTTTTAGTAACATTATAAAACAAAATGTGATTTCCTAATTTTAGGATGTCAGTTACAGGCAAGTTAAAAACTCTGAATTAAAGAAAAATTAATAACCACTAATTTTTGCATACTAAAAATATACGTGTCACTTGTTATGCTGTGTTCCAGGAATACAAAGACAGATAAAAGGTAGTCAGTCTCTGCCTTTACTGGTGGAATAGCAGTTTTTAAACTACCCATTATTTAGTGAAATACAGTCAATAACAATATAAGTGCTCTAAGAAGTATCTGGAAATGTCTGTAAAAATGTTAAAATAGCTGTCATACTTTAGACTCATGTAGCTCACAGGTGGAAGAGGCAGTATTCATGGAAAGAAGCAATGGTGGGAGAGGTTCCCAAAGTGCTTTATACAGAGTAACGAAATGATTAGGTTTGTGTGGCAGGAAAGTAAGTCTTTCAAAATAAAATGCAAGATGAAAACAAGAAAATTTATACAGCCCCAACTATTTAAGGGTCTCATGCTAAGCAGACAGTATTAAAACAAGATTTTCACCTTTCAGGAGCCTATAATTCTATTTTATGTCATACAAACCATTTCATTCATATTATTATAATTGGAAAGATAGTAATTCAACTCACCAATGAGGTGCATGAACCATTTCATTCAGTAGAGCTGACCTAAGGTTTCTCTGAAATGGAGGTGAAAAATAAATAAATGTACCCAAAAGACTATCCATCAGTCAATTCTACCAAACCAGTTATTTTTCCAAGGCTAAATAATCATGGTCATGTTAAAATGGCTCTTGTCCCTTGTTTTATCTGATCCAGTTTTCTAGCTTCAAGCCAGGCATTTTCAGAGCTCTATAATTTATTAATATCAAGTATCATAATGTCATTGGAACCTCATAAGGATGATCAACTGAAAGAGCAGAACAAATAATCTTATTTATAATTTAGAATGAAAAAAATAGCTTTATTGAGGTCTGGGACTTATTTCAAGTTGGTAGAATCCATCTAGGAAAGACCGTATCTCAGGTCTGCCAATTCTTGGTCTACAAGCATGAAACTGCAAATCAGTCTTTCACCACTGAAATGAATCTTAGAATCAAATCTGAAAGATAGCATGCAAAACTGAAAACAAATATCTTAGGGTGAGATTACAGATGTTGTTTAAACATTTAAAAAATATTACTGCAGCCTAATTTTTACAGTTGCAAGTTTGATTATTAAATTCAATTCCCTCAAATCGTCAGTAAAATAAATTTGGTTTCAAAGAGACTGAGTACTGCCAAAAGTTACAGTAAAAACAATTGAAGAGTAAGAACTACAATCCAGGATGTTTGACTTCTAGTCCAGTTCTCTTTTTGAGACATTGGAAGTGTCTCAAGAGCAACAAATTAAAAATTTTTGGTGGTAACTATACTTTTTTTTTTTACCCCTTCTGGAGAGAGTAATATAAATAAGACATTGTAGGAAAAATAGATATAATTAAAGTTACTGATATAAAGATTTAGGCTGATATAAAGTTACTGATATAAAAATTTCTATTTTAAACATCCAATATATAAGTATAAAATTAGTATTTAAAGCAAGAGCTAAAAGCCATGGCCTTTTTCTCATGATTTTGCTTATTTGGAAAAAAAATGAAAACAAATATATAACTAAAGCAGTTTTTAAACTACCATTATTTAGTGAAATGCAGTCAATAACAATATAAATGCTCTAAGAAGTATCTGGAAATGTCTATAATAATGTTAAAATAGCTGCCATACTTTACATTTGACTCACATAGCTTATCATTAATATGTCAGTGCCTACTATGTGCAAGGGACCTTTCAAAGGACAAAGAAGGGGTATAAAGATGAATTCCTCCAGAGTTCAACAAAAAAGATATGTCTTTAAATTAACATGGTTTCAAGTTTGAGATAACATATCATTTGCATGGTTTCAAGTTTGAGATAACATTTAAGCTGGCTTTTAAAAATAGGCAGCATTAATGGAAGCAGGGATGAAAGGAGAAGTTAGTATGAGTTAAGGCAGCAAACGAGAAAGTTCCTAGCATATGTAGGGAACAAAGGTTACTTTCAAGGTGGAATATAGGGTGCCCTAAGAGGAAAAGTGGGAAGTAAATTGAGGCTTAAATGACAGGGATTGTAGACTTAATTCATAGGGAATGGGAATCCAAAATGAATCAAAATAAAAATATGATTGTTCTAGAAATACTAAGCCATAACACAAAATCTGGATGAAAACATCTAATATTCAACTATAGGCTTAAATTACTAAAAAAGAAAAAAGTTCCAAACTATTGCAGATGTTTCACATAAAACAGTAATTCTATGAAAGATTTTATAACTCATAACTTAAAAAAAAAATTTTTAACCAGGGATTTAAGAGTTAATATGGGGTTTTCACAGATTTCTAATGTGAAGAAAAATATATGTATATTTTTCTAAAGTAGAATATTAGATCTTTCTCTAAGAGTATAATGATGACCTAGGCTGGACAGAAGGGAAAAAAAAAACTATGTAGAAGAGAAGAATGTAATAATTTTAAAAGGGGATAAAAGAGCAGGAAAGGGACAAGTGCCTTTCAAATCCTCTAGGTTGGTTCCCAAGCTGTGGGTTTTTGTTTAACTGATAAAGGTGGTAGTTGAGGGGAAGAGACAGTGGATAACAGCACATAATTTGCAGTGGCAGAGATGACTACAAGCATTCATAATATACAATGGTGGTAGTGGAAAGAGAGGGTATGGAGTTAAGCAGGTCTGAATTTCAACACTAGTCATGTGATCTTGAAAACATTTCTTAACTTCCCCATAGCAAATTTTCTTCTCCTGTAAAATTAGGATAATAAATTTTTACCTTACAGGGGAGAATTAGAAAGAGCATAGGAAAGAACTTGATTCAATAAGTGATAGCTCTTCAATAAATACCTTTCATTAAGTTCCTACCGTGTGCTTACCACTGTGATTCTGTGGCTTTTAATCTTTGGCAGACTATGGAAGAGATGAGTTGTACTTAGAAGGTGATGAAGGAGCACTTCAAAGCCCCAGTTCAAAATTATCTCCTCATTATCTCTCTCTCTCTCTCTCTCTCTCACTCACTCTCACTCTCACACAAGTACATGTTCACTCTACCAATTAGGAATTTTAAGTTAACAAGATACTTCAGCATCCTTTGGAGAGGCAGATCACCTTCACACTTCAATGTGATCAGTTCTTTGCTTAGTGAAAAGTTGCTGGGTTCTCTTGGAATCGGAAGAAGGCAATGTGAATTAGGAACTTCTTGAGGGTACTCAGTATGATAGGAAGGTGGAAAGGAAGATGGAGGAGGGTAAGGGAAAACATAGAGAACAAGAAACAAAGAGAAAAGAAGCCATAAATAATAAGTAGCGGTTCAAATTTGGACTTTCCCCTTGGAGGGGACGTTTCCGTTCTGTCCCATGATAATCTCTTAGAAAGATAATTGACAGTTAAGTTTAAATTGTCAAGCCTGTCAGTAGAGAAAAATGTTGAGACAAGTCTCAATCATTTCAGGAGGTTTATTTGCCAAAATTAAGGACGTGTGTGGGGAAAACAGGTCTATGCCTTTCTGGGAAGACGATTTTGAAGGTTCCCAATTTAAAAGGGAAAGGATGGAATACTGGGAAATACAGTTTTCATGTGGGAGGGTGGCAGGGGGAAAATAGTCATTCGTGCCTTTGTCTGGCTTAGTGAATCTGCATTTTTACATAAGAGAAAATAGACAAACGAGGCAGGGGAGCAATTAGATATGCATTTGTGCCAGGTGGGTAGAGGGGTGACTGCACCTCTAACATAAGCTATCCATTTACCAATGTAAATGGTGAATTCTAATAGAAACATTTTAGGGTAAAGATCTTGGAGCTCACTGGGAATCTCCTTGTGAGCAAAATATGAGAGAGGTGTGTAGCTTTTCATCTGGTAGCCATCTCATTTAGGAACCAAAAGGTAAGGCAGTTTTGCATGACCCAGTTCCCAGCCTAACTTTTCCCTTTGGCTTAATGAGTTTGGGGTTCGGAGATTTATTTTCCTTTCACAAGCCTATGGCAAACTCAGATTCCTTCCTTTCATCCTTGTTTCATCAGTTCAGGCTGGTTAGTTACCCTTTGCAATTCACACAGAGTAAGAGAAAAGACAGTGGGAAGCTACGTGTGCAGGACTCCTCTGCGCTCCGCTCCATCTAAACTCTCAAGAGAAACTTGGGTTTTTTTGTGTGTGTTTTTTCTATTCACCCGTCTTTTAAAGAGGCAATCCCACTTCTCCACTTCCACTTCCTAATAAAGAATTCTAAGCTACTTAAGGATTTTCTTTAAATTATGTAGCTATTCAATCACGGTCAGTCATAGTTAATAGCTTTTCCCCACTTCCCATAGCCTCAGCTTTTAGCTTAGCTCCGACAGTGATCTGGCTTAAGCTATTGCGACCCACCCCCCACCTTAAACACTTCACAGGCTGCTGGCCTGTGGAAAGCTGAGGCCGCCAACTTCGGAGCCTAGGGTTCCCAGGACATCAGGTCAAGCAACTCTGAAGTCCACCCAAGGGCAAATTCCACACATAGTTTCTTCTCTCTTGGGACCAGCGCTTTAACATCTGGGTTAATCAGATCGTGCAGACATGGTAACTAGGCGCAGAAAACAGCTGGACACGTTGCTGGGAGCCCAGACAGAATGTGACCAGTAGTTCTCAGAAACCGCTTCTAAATACCAACGCCAACAGGCTTGTAGCGTCCGAGTGCGGATAAGTGCAAAAACGAGCATAGTTTGAACCTTTGGGGTCCAAATCTGCATTTGTGAGCGCTCCTTTTACTGTTTTAAGTTTTGAAATTTGATTTACCCAGAGGGAAGAGTTGCAGAGTGGCAACCGCACCCAAGTAAAACTAATATTTGCACTCACACACTCCCAGGATTCTTCACAAACAGGGATGGAAGAAGAAACTTAGGAAGTTCAAGTTTAGCATTAAAATAAAGGACGCAACACCAAATACTCCGTGCACCTTTTTCACGGAGCTCATCCGCCCTGAGCTTCTCACAGCTTAGTGCGCCTGCGCCCGCAAGACCTGCGGCCCCGCCTCTCGGTTGGGTACGTGAGACGTGCGACTGGACGCGGGACGCGGGCTGCGCATGCGCCTTCATTACATCAGCCCGCTGCTCCGTGCTGCCAGCGGGAGCGGTGGAGAAGACGCTGTTTGCCGCTGTGTCTCCCGCGCCTGTTAGGCGCAGCACGCCCGGAAACCGAGAGAGGAGAGGATAGAGGAAGTGCTTCCCTCGGCTGTATAAGTAGAAGCAAGAGTATCTTCTTTCCGCCAGGCAAGTACCCGTAGGAACTGGGCCCCGCCCCCTTCCCGGCCTACACTCCCATCCCCTCTCCCTGGGCGGAGGTGACGACCCCCTTGGCTCCTCTGGTTCTGTCACTGAGCCCCTGCTAGCCATGAAGCTCGTAAGGAAGAACATAGAGAAGGACAATGCGGGCCAGGTGACCCTGGTCCCCGAGGAGCCTGAGGACATGTGGCACACTTACAACCTCGTGCAGGTGGGTGACAGCCTGCGCGCCTCCACCATCCGCAAGGTACAGACCGAGTCCTCCACGGGCAGTGTGGGCAGCAACCGGGTCCGCACTACCCTCACTCTCTGCGTGGAGGCCATCGACTTCGACTCTCAAGCCTGCCAGCTGCGGGTTAAGGGGACCAACATCCAAGAGAATGAGTATGTCAAGATGGGGGCTTACCACACCATCGAGCTGGAGCCCAACCGCCAGTTCACGCTGGCCAAGAAACAGTGGGACAGTGTGGTTCTAGAGCGCATCGAGCAGGCCTGTGACCCAGCGTGGAGCGCTGATGTGGCGGCTGTGGTCATGCAGGAAGGCCTCGCCCATATCTGCTTAGTCACTCCCAGCATGACCCTCACTCGGGCCAAGGTGGAGGTGAACATCCCTAGGAAAAGGAAAGGCAATTGCTCTCAGCATGACCGGGCCTTGGAGCGGTTCTATGAACAGGTGGTCCAGGCTATCCAGCGCCACATACACTTCGATGTTGTCAAGTGCGTCCTGGTGGCCAGCCCAGGATTTGTGAGGGAGCAGTTCTGCGACTACATGTTTCAACAAGCCGTGAAGACTGACAACAAACTGCTCTTGGAAAACCGATCCAAATTTCTTCAGGTAAAACAATCTTACCCAGGGATAGTTAAGAATGGGCAGAGGGATTTGTATAAACTAAAGTTTTAGAATTAGGAAAAATGAGAGGAGAGAGTCTTTACTTAACTGGGATTATCATGAGATAATGAAGTAAAAAGAGAATGTTAAATGACTAAGTAAACTTTGCCGAGTCCTTAAACATATAAAGCCTTATTAGTGCTTTTGGCCTTTAAGCCTTAAGTGCTTTAAGCCTTTGTGGGCTGATTAATGGGTGTTCTAAGAGATTATTTTGCTTAACTTTTGTAATTGTGATTCTAGGTACATGCCTCCTCCGGACACAAGTACTCCCTGAAAGAAGCCCTTTGTGACCCTACTGTAGCTAGCCGCCTTTCAGATACTAAAGCTGCTGGGGAAGTCAAAGCCTTGGATGACTTCTATAAAATGTTACAACATGAACCAGATCGAGCTTTCTATGGACTCAAGCAGGTAGAGAAGGCCAATGAAGCCATGGCGATTGACACATTACTCATCAGCGATGAGCTCTTCAGGCATCAGGATGTAGCCACACGGAGCCGGTATGTGAGGCTGGTGGACAGCGTGAAAGAGAATGCAGGCACCGTTAGGATATTCTCTAGTCTTCACGTTTCTGGGGAACAGCTCAGCCAGTTGACCGGAGTAGCTGCCATTCTCCGCTTCCCTGTTCCTGAACTCTCTGACCAAGAGGATGATTCCAGTTCTGAAGAGGATTAATGATTCAAACTTAAAATTGAGACTATCTTGTGTCTCACTCCTAAACTGTTAGAATACATTTCTCAGCATCCTTGTGACAGAAAGCTGCAAGAGTGGCATTTTTGATTCATACAGGGATTTCTTATGTATTTGGTTACACTAGATATTTTGTGATTGGCAAGTCATGTATTTAAACAATAAAAGGAAATAATCTCCACATACTACCATTTTTATTTATTGGGTAATTTTGTATAGGAATGAGTTATTTGTAGTACTTGGAAATAGAAAACGTGTATTTAATAACAGTGCCTATACAGTATGTTGTGTGGGATAGATCATGAAATTTCACACTGCATGCTTTGAAACAGTTTTCCTTAGAAAAAGTATTTGCTATCTTATCCTCAGTTTACATCATTTATTTTAATTCTGCATGGTATTCTTGCATTGCATTTAATGATCCATCTTCTCCTCACTGCCACACACTGCACTTTTTAAAAAATTTAAGGAGTTTTACTGTTTTAAATGATTGCCGTGCAATTAGTAGACTCAAAGACAAGTTTTAAATATTTTTCTTAAAACATGTTAAACCAATCACGTTGACAGGAAATGCTTGGTTTTGTTTTGTTGTCTTTAGAATTAGTCATATTTGATTTAGACGGTCACTTAATTAGTTATTTTTAGATTTTAGAGCTTTGATCTGCTAGGGATTGTCAAAGTAACCTCTTTGAGGCATCTTTATTTTTTAAATTAGACTAAGTTAATGTGATTTGCTTTTATGTGGCTGATTAGTGGCAAAGCTGGAAGTCGTTCCCAATCTGGGATTTAGTTCTTTGCCCCAAAACATGCCATATTATTTATTTATTTGCTTGTCAAAGTTATACTTAATTCTGTATGTGGCATTAATCTGGGTTTGCACATTTTTATTGGACTATTTTAGGTATGAAGAAGCTTGTTCGAAAGTGTAAGTCACATGTCTAGTATATGGCAGTTGACTTAAACTCCAATACACTTTACTGTAATTATAGAATTGTGTAAATACCTCCAAGTTTAAAATATTCTCTTTTTTTAAGTATTTTTGGTGCACATTTCTAATAATTGAGGAAGGATCCTCAGAAATGGAATTGTTTCTTGACCTTTTGCAAACCTCAATTTAGCAAAATAATTAGAAACGATTTAGTTTGTAATTGCTGGATCAGTGATGCCTACTTCAAGTAGTGATACTACGTAAACTTTTGCCTGTCTTTCCTGTGTCTGTGGGCCTTCTTCCTAGTATAACAGACTTGGGGATTTCTTGTAAACTTCCTAACTAGTCTGAACCTTTTTATTTCTTATTGGGAACTGACACTTTCCTATGCTTTAAAAATCACATATTTATATTTTTATAAATCTACCTCCTAATTTAAAAATAATTGAGATTGTCATTTCATTATAATTCTTTGAGTATCTTTAAAATACTATTCAGATATGTTACTAAATAATAGGAATATAGAAATGAAGCCACTGAAATTCTTAAACGTGGAACCTGATAATTATTTTCAGTAAGGATTTGGAGATTTTTGGACATTTATTACTCTCATAATCTATGCAGTACTGAAATGAAACCTAATAAATGTAGCCAGTACATGTTAAGCCATAGGTTCTCAAAGTTAGCTACCTGTTCACCTCAACTTGAGAGCTCTTAAAACCCTAAGTGTCCAGGTCGCAGCCCAGACTAATTAAATAACCTTTTGTCCCTAGAAATGTTTTTTGCTACACAGATGATTCTAATAGGCATCAAGGCTGAGACCACTGATTCAGGTTCTCTTCAGAAGTATGGTCCATAGACCAGCAGCATCTCTGAGAGCTTGTTAAAAACTGGAATTCATGCCTCTTTTGTAGACATACTGAGACAATCTACCTGTACCAATATCTATCTCCAGGTGATTCCTGCACGTAATAAAATCTGATAAACAAAGGCAATAGGTTATTCTGTGCTCGTAAATCTCTGGGAGGAGTCACCAGTCAGACAAAGACTTTAGTATTGAAGTCTTTCAACAGTTAACTGGCCATACTCAACTATCTATAAAACCTCTATACATGTCTGTTTTTTATGTCTATGAATTATTTAATTAAATAAAATTTAACTCATTTTTAAGAAATTACATTTTCTGTTATCAAAAATATAGTTCTTACTAGATCATAGGTAAAAATAGAATAATGATAGAAGCAAATTAAAAATTCAAATAATTTGACTTCTAGAAGACAAAATAAGTCTTTGGAAAGCATATACAGTAGTCTAATTCCAGCTGCTACTCATTAAGTACTGGATATGTGATTAAAACCCTATCAATAATAACTCCAATGTACCTTCTCTAATGTACTGTACATTTCCATTTCCTATTATGTACTTACAAACATTTACTATGTATGCCCACTAAACTCAATGAATAAGAAGCTTGCACATTATTTCATTTTGCTATAGATACAATACATATCAAATGACAGTTAGCTACTCCTGGTCTTCCATTTATATGTTAAATGCCCAAGATTGTTGATCCTGGATTTCATTTTCATTACCCTCTTAGAAACAAGTTGGATCTTTCTTCTCCCCGATGCTACTAGAGTAGCTTTGTAAAGCTCGTCTTTATCTTTACATAGTTTCTAACTTTAGTTTCCTTTTTCAGTCCCCCTGACTAATTCTTTTAACCTCAAATTATCTTTAACAGATATTGCTAATTCTGTAATTCATATATTCTGGAACTGAAATTATCTTTGTTTCTAAACAACCAAGTTTACAGATGAAACAGTCTGTACATTAATTCCCCATAATAGCAGCTCTTATTTGGGAAAGGGTTATAGTACATTTAAATCATATGGTTTTTCAAGCAAGTCAAGACTAGCTATTTGTGTTTAGTATCAGAATATGTTAAATTAGAAGTTGAAGAGTTTCTAAAGTGATTCTAAAGGCTTAAGGAAAGATGAACCCTTTTGCTTAGAGCCAGAGCTTAGATATGGGGCGCCCATATTTATGTTACACTAATCATTAAGAGTAATATATTCTGTCCATTTTTATAGTGCCTTCTTTGAACCAGTCACTGGGCTGGGTTTGGGGAAGACAAGCATGTAAGCAAATCATGGTTACAAGTAACTTGTACAAAGTGTGTAAAAAGATGCAGTGCTGAAAGGGGTTACTTTTAGGAGGAACTTTATAGAGCAAGGACCAGTAAGTTTGCCTAAAATGGGAAGAAGAAATATGGAGAAATTAAGTGATAAGTTGGGGAGGGGAAGTGTGCTAATCACCTAAGAACCTCCTTACCACAAGAAGGGATTTGGGTTTGACCATTATGAGAAACAATTACTAAGTTTAAGCAGGAGATTAGCATGATAAACTGCATTTGACAAATAGCACTATTTGGCAGCATCAAGGATGGACTGGAGGAGGCAAGACTGAAGGCAGGAAGACTGGTTAAAGGAAGGCATATTAGGAAGATAGGAGAGAAAAATGATAATGGCCTGATCAAAGGCAGCAACAATGTTCCTTGCAATAGAAATGAACAGAAGTCAATAGGAGATACCAAGAGATGGGATCAAAAGGACATGAGTGCAGATTATTGTTAAGAGTTATGGAAAAAAGTAGAATCCAAAGGTAAATCTCAGATTTCTTGAGTGGTAGGAAAGATGATGACACAAAATGGAATTTTAAAAATTATAATTTAAAAAATGTTTTATAGGGTGATTAAATTTACTAAAAGATTTTTTCAGGATTCCCGTAGTGCAGTGATTAGCAAGCTATAGCTCATTCAGGCCAACCAGTTACTGCTACTGGACCCTCTAGCCTTGTGTTCCCTGTCCTAACATAGGATCTCTGATTTGCCTCAACTGACATTTGGTTCACTCCTCTTTGATTCTCTGAAGAACCACAAGAGTCTGAACTGCAGCATAAATTTTGCAGTTTGATTTACATCTTTCTTAATGATTTGAAAATAATTTGTTTCAAAAACTGATTTTGACCAGCTTACAATTTTACTGGTAGATCATTTTCAAGTAAATGAATTCTTCAGCAGTGAAGAGCAACTAAAGTGAAGAGTTGAAGAGCAACTTAAAAAAGGACTATTAATTCCAATAAAGTTGGTAAAATGCTCAGTTAAATAATTTTCTTCCAATTAGTGTCAGCATATTTAAACTTTGTGGTGTGATTCAGTTTATATACTCTGAGATTTAGATTTTAGAAAAGTGCTCTTCAGGATTTTCCTAATGTATTCTATGTATCTCTCTTGAATTGATTTAGAAATTTAGTGTAAAAGTGTTACTACAACATGCTTTATAAAGGAGTTAGGATGCAATTATAATATTTTTGTGAATCAGTGATGCCTTTTTTAGGAAAAGATTAAGAGGTCAAAAATGCAGCTATAGAAAATAAAACCTATAATAATAGTCTTGGATTTAACAAGGAGAACAATCAGGAGTTACTAAACATGGTCATCAAGTAGTAGGTAAACTTCACTTAGAAATAAAACAATTAACCAGATTCAGTAAAGAGATACTTATTTAGGTTAAAAATACCATTAAAAAACTTTGGGAGAAGGTATTTGTTAATGGAAATACCTTCTTCAGTGGAGATGATAAAATCTCATTCATTGTTTTTCTTATAAAGTAAGAATTAGTCCTATTAGGAAGCATGTGATATATATCACCATCTGTATTCTCATCCATATTTTATAGTATTAATTCTAAATTTCCAAGAATAATTGGTAAAATAGCCCTTTATTTTGCAGTATTAATATCTCTATTTTCAATAACATATTGTGTTGAGATAAGTAACACTGAGTAACACACTGGAATATTATGAATGTTTTAATTTAAATGAGGAGAAACGAATGAGTTTCTGTAAAAACAAACACCTTTGTGTGTAGTATTATAGTTGCATACAAATTTGAGGCTGCAGTGTTTGCTTCTTACAATGAATATTTTAACTCTATAATAATTAGCATTGATATGGGAAGGTCTTAAATTTTCAGATTACGGTTGCTAAGGACGATAACATTTATGGTAAATTGTGGGGACTTGGATATCAGTCTTCTTTTAAATTTCCTTTCTTGATTTCCTAAAATAGCCTACATTAAAAACCCCATTCTTTAGAATGTTAGTTCAATGGAAATACCAGTTTTCTATAATGTCAGAAATTTAAGGAATTTAAAGCTTATTTCTATTTGAGTGCCACATTTGGTTTCAAAACACCCAATACTGAGGCAACAGCAATATTTGCCAAGTAGCAAATACAAGAGCAAAATGTTTTGGCAGTCATATTGCCTGGCCATGCCCAGGGTTGGTACTACTGTCCCCACTCCAGGAACGGACAACCTGTTATAACAAAAATAACTGTGTGCTTATTAAGTGTCAGGTCTTACGGTAAGTACCTTAAAATGCATTAGTCTTTCAAGAACCCTGTTCAAAGGGTTTTGTTATTACTATTTTCTGATCCCCAAAAAAAATGAAATTAAGGTCAAATAATTTATCCAAAATCACATAGCTAGTGGATGTGATGAGGTGCTCCCTCAGCCAATATCCTAAAAAAAACCTAAGAAGGTCAGTTCTCAGCTTTCAGTTTGGAGTAGGCAAACATGTATCTAAAAATAAAAATAAATTATTTGATGACACTAAATTTCACATAATCAGCCAAAATTTATGCAACCAATTTTTTTTTTATGTTTTTATTCTGTTATTTAGTCATCTCTCATGAAAAGTCAGGAACTCAATTCTAAGGTCTTCTAATTTACCTGGATCATGGCAGAGAATTAGAGAAAACAGAGAAAATGTGGCAAATCTAGGTATGAAAGCAATCCCTTCAAGCATTACCCAGCATCTGTTTATTGTTATTTCACACCTAGTTTTAGCAAGCTTTTTTTCTTTAATTTTAAACCTACAAATAAGTCATGCACTATTTCAACAAACTTGGTGGGTTTTTTTGTTGTTTGTTTGTTTGTTTTTTTATTGAGACAAAATCTTGCACTGTCACCCAAACTGGAGTGCAATGGCACGATCTCGGCTCACTGCAACCTCCACCTCCCAGGTTCAAGCGATTCTCCTGCCTTCGCCTCCCAAGTAGCTGAGATTACAGGCCCCTGCCACCACACCCGGCTAATTTTTTATGTTTTTAGTAGAGACAGGTTGCACTGTGTTAGTCAGGCTGGTCTCAAACTCCTGACCTCTTGATCCGTCTGTCTCAGCCTCCCAAAGTGCTGGGATTACAGGTGTGAACCACCACACCTGGCCAACAAACTTTTTAAAAATGAAGACCCTTAAGTAGCTAGAACTATGCTACCCCTGAGTATGCAAGGATGAATTAAGACAGTTTTCCCTGCCTTTAATCAGGAAATTAGATATCAGCAGAAGATGACCACAAGTGGCCAAGTTGACAGAATTGATAACAGTCAAAAGTGACAGCTGATAGTGGGAATGGATCCTGAAACACCATCAAAAGAAAAAAGCCTATGCTATTATAGGATATTTCACTGGGGCTTGAGGATGTTACTGAGGACAATACCAGTACCTGATATTCACATTGAGTGAAAGGTTAAATTGCATTCAGTGTATTCTGTTAAATAAGTCAAATAAATGTAATATCTTTCAAAATGGTTTTCATTCAAAAATAGTGGTACTTAAAAAAACTTTAGCTGTCATACCTAGAATGACAGTTCCAGATAACCAGAGTTTTACTGTGCCTTAATAATCTAAACTCAAATAATTGTTGAGGGATGAATTTTTAAGGGAAAAAAAAAATCCCAAAATATTTTAGTTGTACGATTTATTCAGAGGTAGAAGGTCCTTCTGAGTTCAAGTCTAAGTTCCAAAAGTTTTATGCCTGGAATTTTTCATCAAGTCCTAGTGTAAACATTGACAAGAACTTTTTGTTTGACACCATTGTGAAAAATAGCTCTGTGGATGGAAAACATTTTAATCTTGGGTTTCAGCTCATTTGATCTGATGACCATAATTTATAGTTTATTCTTCCTCCCCAAGTGTGTTGTCGACTATGGTATAATTCTTTTTCCTTTCTTTCTTTTCCCTTTTTTTTTTTTTGAAGAGTTTGAAGAGGAAGATTAAAATACATTTCAGTATATAGCTCTGAATCACTTAGAATCATAAGAGGTTAAAGCTATAAGG